GCACAAGTTGAATTATGTTAAAAATTTATAAAATTTTAAATCACCAAACTGATTTGCATTTATTCGTTAATCTGTCAATTCGCTCAATCCACATCCGCTGAATTGACAGACGAATACAGATTAATTTTTTCTGATCTACTAATCTGACGGACAAATAACAAATTGAAAGTTCCGTGTCCGCCCACCCAACATGCAACGATAGCATTGTCATTTAAAATTTTATCAAAAGTGAGTTATATATATTTTGGAACCCATTTTAGGCTTAACAAAATAATTTCATAAACAACCCCACCTCACTTGAATAATTGAGCAAGTTGGTAAAAAAAATCAGTGCTTTTATCATTTATTTATTCAAGCGAATATGAAATTCTTCTTTTGGTTTACAAGTTTTGAAACTATTGCAGCCAATAGTTAAGAAAAAATGAAAATAATTTTTGTAATCATATAAAATTTCAAAAAAATAAAATTAAATAATTCTTATTTTTCGTAAATATTTTCAAATGTTAACAAATGTTTAATAGGTCCGTCTTCTGTCCAACTGGGGGAGAGGACTAAACTCTTGTGCAGTTTGGTTAACAAGTGGACTATTAGATTTATTTTGATGATTTAAATTATTTATTTTTTATAATCTTATGAGTAAATCATTTATAACATCATATTTGTCTTTGAATATTGAATGAAAAATATAATTTGATAATAGACAATCTATTTTATTAAGACAAATATGATAAAATTATACGGATAAAATTATTTACTCAATTTATTTGGGTTGTTTTGGGAAGATGGTAAAAAGTGACTTTTTGGCTTTTAACCAAGTTTTTGGCTTTTTTAGACATATGATTTGGGAAGTTGGTAAAAAGTGACTTTTGACTTTTTTGATTAATATTTGTTTATGATGTCAAATCATAATAAAATGACTAAACTACCCCCATTTATTTAAAATATTTACAACTGAACCTATGTAACACATTGTGACCCATGAGGGGTAAAATTGTAATTGCACCGTTGGCTAAAAACCAACTTGGCAAATGAAAAAAAAGCCAAAAAAGGCCAACTTTTAGCTTCTGCTACTAACCAAAAAAAGTGATTTTTAGCCAAGTTTCCAAAATAGCCCTTTATTTAAATAATATATCCACCCTAAAAGATTCAATTCACATCATTGAAACAGGCATTGAAATAGTCATGATGTTGGACCCACACCAAGTTAAATTAAGAAAATTACAAATCAATGATTTCCTTTTAAAATAATAACAAATTCATAAGAAACAATTATAATTTTAATTATTCAAGTTTATAAATTTTAGGATAAATTATAAATACATTTTATGAGATTTACTTAAAATACGGATTACTGCTTGTGATTTAAAAAATTACAAATATCCCTTTGTCAATAGAATTAACTAAAATAATAAAATTCTCAACTCCGCTCTTATACAACAATACAATTATTTAAATTATTAATTAAAATAAATTTCTAATATCATTAAAATTGTTAATTGACTTGATAATTTATTAATAAAATAGATTATTTGTTATGAAATTAAAAATTTTAAGAGGCGAAATATAATTTTAAAAATTATAAAGAGCAATTCATATTTTAAACACACCTAATTTACAAAATTTTATCACACTACAAAAAATTAAGATTTTAGAAACTAAAATTTAGAAATAATTATTTTTTAGAGACCAAATATATTTGTTACAAAAAGTGTCGTCATTATATATTTAATAACGAAATTTAGACATTAGTAATGAATTATTATCTTTTTGGGATCAAATTTTGTCTTAAAAAATAAATTATTTTGAGACCAAATTATTTTGTCCTAAAAGTCTATTTATTAGTGATATTTTTAAAATTTTGTCACTAAAAGTTTTGTTTTTTACTTTTTAAAATGACTTTTTAGCGATTATTCTCATGACGATAGAAATTGATCCTTAAATGTCTTTTATAACAAAATTTTCACTTTTAAATGCCAAAATATTTAATCTCTAAAACTCTTATACGTTGCAGTTCCATCTAAAAATTATTTTTCAAACTTACATTATGAAATTGTTATTTCTCGTTAGGTTCAATCCTATACAACTAGAGAGAAGTTGGACCACTTTCGAATGTATGTAGGGAAGTGCCCATCCTCCATGCACTACAATTTACTCCGAGAGAATAAGAAAAAATTTGAAAGACATAAATGTGAATAAATAATTAAATAAATAAATCAGCACCGATCTGTGAGCGGGTTGGTAAGGTCTCCACAGTAAACGTCGGTGCACATGATCTCTGTCATTAGTTAGGCACAAACTGTGGGCGAGAGAAAACAATATACCAACTTTTTAAAATTGAGACAGAGAAAAGTTACAGTTAATAGTTGTATTAGTGAAAGTATAGGGTGAATGTGGCAGTGGTGTGGGGGTGGTATATTTGTTTCAATTGTGTAACTCCATATCTTCATCTCTCTCTATGTGTTGCTATCGAGTCGTTTCGGAAGAGTGTATTTTAGTTTAAAAGTTAAAAATAACTTTAAAAAATATTTTAAAAAAATCAATAAATTATACCCAAAAAAAATAATCGAAAATTCTATTTTTTTATACTTTTTATATGTTTTTTTATTATTATAAAAAATGTCATTACAAATATACTAATTTTTTTTCTTCTCATTTTTTAGTTAAAAATTCAAAAATTACTATTAAAATAATCTATTTCCAAATGAGACCGCTAATTAAACCCGAAATCACCTCCACTTCGCAATTAAACCGCATAAATTGGGATTGCAGTAAACAGAATTCCAAATTGTGGTCACCACAAATTAATACGGCAGTTTATAACGGTTTGAATTCTATTTTTATTACTAACATAACAGTGCACAATGCTCCCCAAATCCACTCTTTGACAGGTTTGTTATAGATGTAGCATGAAATCAGCAGCATTCTAAAAAAGCAGGGTTTGCATTGGATGATAGAGGGAATCAAATCATCTGTAGAAAAACTACTCTCACCCAGACAACAATGGAAAAAAAACTAGGGTTTATTTTTTTAACTCAAAAGGTGTACATTGCGATCCTTTTGTTCTTAAAAGATGTATACAGAGAATTTTTGTATATAATATTATAAGTGTTGCTGGATGTCTATTATGGTCATTAAGGTTTAGAATATAATTGTCATTAAATTAAAAATTCATTAAGTGTGTTCCCTGAATTATTTAAGTGTGTAGAAATAGAATTTGCCGAAAGTAGTCTATGTTGTTAGAAACTTCAATGCCATATTCCCCTTATAAAGAAAAAGCATCTCATGCATACCAATTTTAAGTACATGGGCCACCCTCCGATGGCTTGCCCTGCAAGCCATGCATGCCATGTCACCTCCAGTCGATGACATGTGGAACAATCAGCAAACCAAGCACTACACTATGATTCACCTAGCGAAACCCGCTTATGCCTGATCCCACCCTATTCGGTCACTTGGCTTGCCGATAGCTTCATCGAGAGAGGCTTCATTCCTGAAGAACCAAGACAGTCTGACCACGCTACCTGGCTGGGAACAGGGCTTAGGTATTCTGCTCAAGACTACAAAAGACGTTGTAGATTGGAGACTACTGTTCAAAGGATTCGTTTGAGTGCTCGTCCAGCCTCCATGATGCATTCAAACCAATCTCAGAAACAGAGAGGCTTTAACAAGACATGTGAGTATCATATGCCAACCTCTGAACTACTTTAACACTTCTAGAGAAGAATGTATCATACTTCACCTTTGCCCATGTATGATAACCCCCCTGAAGCCGGCATCAAGGATTGCATAGTTGGCTTTGATTTCCATCCATTATGCCTAGACCTAGTCAAGGGGGTTGCGTTGCCTACCTTCAGCTGAACTAGCTTTCCCTAACTTGTTAGGGAACCTCCATGCACACAACGACACACTGAACATCATTGCTCTTCTCAAGCATGAAGCTCTCTACTACCCTCTCTCTCTCTCTCTCTCTCTCTCTCTCTCTCCTAAGGGTGCCTTGGCTCTCTCACCTCTCACCTACGGCATTCTCCAACTCTGGGTGCTTGCCATCTTCCCAACTCATCGCACATACACAACTTTCACTTCAAATCTCCCCACCTTCAAAAATTCCTATCTCCCCCCTCTATGCCCTATCGATATATAACTTTTCAAGTTATGTTTAGATCATAAATTTTGATAGAAATTTGGAAAGGAAAAAAAAAAAGTTAAATAAAACGTAAATGAAATATAACTGTATTTCACTTACATTTTACCCACTGTCCCTTTTCCCTTTCTAAATTCTTACCAAAATCCATGATTCAAACAATCTAAGAGTTCTACAAATGCATTAGCCTCCCAATAATGATGAACCACCATCCTAAAATTAGTCATCCCTACTTCAGAAAATTTGGTGTGGTTTGTCACCATCACATTCTATCAAAAATCCCATAAACTAAAGGGCAATTTAACACCTTGTCATGCAAACCAAAAAAAAAAAAGAAGAATAAGAAAACTCATTCTATTTCATCACAACGTAGCAAATGGAACATGGTATTCCTATTATGTCTAAACGATGGAAAATAAACAAAAGGAAAGAAATAATGTACAAGAGAAAGATTAGTTACACCCCAAACTCATACTAGAAAACCTAAATAAGTAACGATATTTTGCTTAAATAAAAGAAGATGCACATTATGATTTTATAATTTAATCATGGCAAACGATGATACCAAGGAATAATCAGAGTCCTAAAAAATATATCAGTAATGGAAAACCGAGAGACTGCTGTTACATACAGTTAAGAGGCATATCATCTTTCGGAGGATGATCGTAAACAGGAGACGAAATAAAGTTCGCTTCCCGCTCACTAGACTCAATCAGCATTAGCACAACTTCTCGCATTGATGGCCGATCAAAAGGGGATAAACTCGTGCACAATAAAGCAATTTTTAAGACAGTAAGCATGTGATTGATGGTGGTACTTCCATCAATCAAATTTAATCGACTGTCTAGTATCCCAGATGATAACGAATGTTCTCGAATATAAATCCTCACCCACGTGACAAGATCGCCTCCATTTTCTAGTGGCTGTACAGGAGTTCTTCCAGTTAGCAACTCCAAGAGAACTACTCCGTAGCTATAAATATCACATTTTTCGGTAACCTTCATTGTGTATGCATATTCTGGCATCAAGAAAAGGTAAATCATCAGTCAGAATGGAGTTAAAAATTATTTCAATCAACAAGGCACAAGTCAGCTGAGAGAGAGAGAGAAAGACTGCAACTTGATTAACATTAGGAATCATATGACTTAAAAAAAAAAAAAAAAAAATTTGCCTAAAAAAATTTGCCTTCATCTACTTTTCTGAGTGAAACTGTTAGATCGGTTGATGAATAAGGTCATATGACTCACAGTGCTCAGAACTTAGCTCAAGAAGCTTTGTCAGTAAGAAGGGCATGAATAAGCAATTTTCTCCAACAATTTCTTTTTAGTTGCTTTTTGCATTTTTTTAGAATCTAAAAAAGCTGATGCATTTGGTAATTGTTAAAAAAAAGTTTTTGTTGGAGGGAAAGTTGGCTTTTTTAGCTACTTTTGTTGCCTTTTTAGCACAAGACAAACAGCCTTTTGCTTTTTGGCTCATTTTAGCAAAAAACCAGCTTTTTAGCCCATGCAAAATGAGGATACAAGGGATAGAACTGGGAAATTTTCAAAAAATTGGAAATGTAAATGGCATTTATCCTTGTGATTTGTAAGCCATCTCTGCCCTCGTTTGGCATTTTAGTTTTCTGGAGCTAGAACGCTAAAATAGCCACAAAAAGACAAAATAGTCTAAGAAGCCAATAAGACAAAATGTCACATTCAAATCATAATTATTTCATTTTTTCTCTCACAAAAGTCTAAAAAGTCAAAAAACCTAACCCAAACAAGACTTTTTAGCCTAGGCTAAAAATAGCTAAAAACAGCCAAAAAGTCAATCCATTTCCCAAACGAATAAAGCAAATACTAAAGAAACAAAGAAATAAAACATAAGTATGAGTTGTATCAGCTAGTTGTATGTATGAACAGCAAAAGTTCAAGTTACTAACAATGTTTGTTCATTATTCAGATTTCTCTTAACCAAACAAACAAGGCATAGAACCCAATATTTTCTTAGAACCCAATATTTTGATATAGAATGAATATTTAATTACTTTCTTAGAACCCAAAATTGAATTATTATTCTTTTATGTTAATCATAGATATCCGAAAGTATAAACAATGAACTTGGAAGCAGAAACTATAAACTGTCAAACCGAGGGCTTACCAGGGGCAATGTATCCATACGATCCTGCAATTGCAGACATTGACTTGGCTTGAGGCATGTCAATGACCTTTGCCAAACCAAAATCACCGACATGGGCTTCACAGTTCTCATCAAGCAAAATATTATTAGACTTTATATCACGGTGAATGATCCTCGGTTTGCAGTCATGATGCAAGTAAGCAAGGCCCTGGGCCGCCCCAAGAGCAATCATAAACCGTGTTGGCCAGTCCAAGCCACAAGATGCTCCGTGAAGCATTTCACCCAAGCTACCCCTTTCCATGTACTCATAAAGAAGCAAATTCGAACCCTGGTGATAACAAAACCCATAAAGCTTTACAATGTTACGATGCCTAATATTTCCCATTGTCAAAATCTCAGCTCGAAAACTGTTTTCAATGTTGTTGTTCCCTTCTCTGTTAGATGCTAGTCTCTTAACAGCAATTGTTTGCCCCGAATGCATAACCGCCTTGTAAACCGTCCCAACCGCTCCCCTCCCAATAACATAACTGTCATGAAAATTGTTTGTGGCCTCAAGGAGGTCGTGGAAAGTAAAACCCTCCTTGGGAGGAAAATAAATATCTGAAACCGGAGAGGAAGATATCTCTTTTTCTTGGAAGGAAGCAACTACCTCAATCGGACGCCTCATGAGATATAAGACAAATGCAATTAGAATAAGAGAAACTCCACCTATAGCAGCTGAAACTACTGTGATGATTTTAGCCCGAGGAGCGGTTGAACCTCTCAAAGGTGGAGGAATTGAATTCAAAAATGGGTTCCCAATGCAATTCCCAAAAGGCCCTCCACAGAGCCCTTTGTTTCCAATGAAGCTGCTCCTGGCCATGTTCTGAAACAATTGGGCAACGGGCAATGGTCCAGAAAGATCATTGTACGAGAAGTTACAACCCAATAAACTTGATAGATTACCGAACGTACTTGGTATTGCACCACTCAAATGATTGTTATTCAGTAGGAGGAATTCGAGCAAAACAAGATTCCCAAGCTGAGGTGGTATTCTTCCAGAGAGATTGTTATGACTAAGATTCAGCGCAATCTGCAACCCAGAAAGAGTGCCCAACTCTGACGGTATTTCTCCAGAAAACAAGTTTCCACCCATCTGCAACTCGGTCAAATGAGAGAGGTTGCCCAATGCTGCAGGTATATTTCCAGATAAATTATTTTCAGAAAGCATGAGAAGTTCCATCTGCGAAAGGGTTCCGAGCTCACTTGGTATCGAATCAACAAATCTGTTGTGGCTAAGATCAAGCCGTTGAAGCAACTTGCAGCTAAGAATTTCGGGTGGTATTTGTCCACTGAGCAAATTAGACGAAACGTTAAAAGTCACCAATTTGGACAGATTTCCTATCTCCCTCGGTAACTCGGACACAAAGTAATTTCCTGCGAGATCAAGCCTTTGCAATTTTCGGCAATTTCCGATGTCTGGAGGAATGGGACCACTAAACTTGTTCTGACCCAACTCAACAGCAGACAGGTTCACCAAGTTGCACAAATCAGAAGGAAAGCTCCCCGTTAGCCTGTTTCCATCGAGACGAAGTTGCACCAAGGAGGCGCATTTTGTGACCCCACCAGGAATATTTCCATACAGCAAATTGGACCCGAAATTCAGCAAAATCAAATTAGCATTCTGGCAAATATGAGGAGGTATTCTTCCCGTTAGCTTGTTGTCTGAAAAATCAACTACCCAAAGTTTGCTGTAAAGTCCGAGTCCTTGAGGAATACTACCACTGAGAGAGTTTTCGAAAAGCTGTAATTGAAGCATTTCAGGTAGGTATTGAAATCCAAATGGAATCGGACCCGTGAGGTTATTAATTGATAGATCGAGCTTCGTCAAGTTCTTTAAGCTACTAAGCTCGTTTGGTATAACACCTGTAAGCTGGTTTTGGAAAAGGAAGAGTAAGCGCAAACCCTTTATTTGACTTAATTCGGTTGGAATCTCTCCCACCAAGCAGTTCTCTGATAAATCAATTTCGATTGCTAAAGAAAGATTACCAAATTCCCATGGTATTGTTCCATTCAACTCGTTCCTGTACAAGTATAGCTTCTTCAAGATCTTGATGTTCCCAATCTCAGCAGGAATTTCACCAATGAGGTTGTTCTGGTACAAAGCAAGAGTCTCAAGATTCGTACAATTTCCAAGCTCCTTCGGTATGAAACCAGACAACTGATTATCCCAAAGAATCAATTCTTTCAAGTTCCCAAGCATCCCAATCTCTTTTGGTATATTCCCTCCTAAATAATTTTGAGCAAGACCAAGATATCCCAAATTCTCACAACCAACAATCTCTGACGGTATGCTCCCAGAAATCCCATTTTGCCCAGCTCGAAATGTCGTCAAGTTCTTCAGATTCCCAATAGAATAAGGCAGTGGACCGGTGATCTTGTTAGTGTATGCCACAAACTGAACCAGAGAGGAAAGATTTCCAAGCTCCTCCGGAATAGGACCAGAGATGTTGTTATTGCACAAATTCAGGTTTATTAAACGAGACAAATTACACAACTCAGAGGGAATTTCTCCATCAAACTGATTATTGTTCAAATTAAGACTTTCCAATCTTGAGCAATTTCCAATCTCCTTGGGAATATTTCCAGTGAACCCATTGTAAGAAACGTCAAGAGTAGCAAGATTGACCAAACTACAAATACTAGGGCTCAGGATTCCAGAAAGGTTCATCGAATTCAAATCAACAGACACCACTGTTGGATTGTGATTATTGTAATCCGATGTGCAATTCACACCCTTCCAACCACATGGTGTTCGGTCACCGGAATTCCAATTTCCTAGATGATTAAATTCATCTCGGATGCTTTTCTTGAACTCCAGAAGGTACAGCCCCTCTGAATTCAACCCTTCTGAGGTACAAACCAATAGAGCAGTGACAACCAAAAATCCGGTTAAACTTGAGACCAAACATCTCCTTGAATCAGACATTATAATACCCTCCATTGTATCAAATTTACAGCACAATTTGAGAATTTGACGACTACGCGTAAACTAAGCAACTTGGATTAGAGTGTCAAACAACCAAATGAACTCAGAATTCCAATCCTGTATTGAAGCCAATGTTTAACAAAAGAATTATAAATCTACCATTTTGAAATCAATTCACTAATTCATGATTCAGAAGCACAGCAAGCAAACAAAATAAGTATTCTAGATATGAACCCTTATAAACAATCTTTGACAAACAATGATATAGGGAATTTAAAAATACACACAGAACAGGGTGATGAATCAAAAACATTTCGAATAACCCAACAATTAGAAGGGGAAAAAAATACATAAAAACAAATGGGTATTGCTGAAATGACAAGAAGGAATTCAAATAAACCCATCAAAGATAAATAAAAACAAAAAAACAAAAAACTTAACATACCTCTGAGAATGTCACTCCTCACAGAAAAGACACCAACAAACAGCAGAGTCAGTTATTTCAAGTGATTCCTTGAGATGATGACATAGCAAAAACCATGTGATTCATCAATGGGAGAACATGAATACAAAAACAAGAACTATAGTTTAACTGTTGACAATGATAGTGGGATCTTCCAATCTAAATCCAAGATTTTGTGAAGAAAAAAACAAACATCAAAAACTTTTTCAAGGGAAAAAGCCAAAAAGAAGGAAATCAAATGCAATGAATCAGAGATTTTTTTGGTATTATTTTATTGGAGAAAGTTTGATTGGAGAAGCAAGAGAGCACACAGATAAATCTTGGGTTTTGGGTTTTTTTGGGGGATTTAAGTTTTTGTGATCTTTAGGCGAATGGAAGAGGAGATGAGAGAGAACTCTTCATTGAAACAGTAATGGCCGACAAAACATGCCTTCAAGGGCTAACCTCTCTCTCTCTCTCTCTCTCTATCTCTCTCTATAAACAGAGGGCTTTCTCTCTCTATAATCTCAGATATACCTCTCTCTAGTTTTTCTCTTTTTTAGTGCTTGGAACAGAAAATTGTAAAATCTTTTTAGACAAGGAAAGTTATCTTTTTCGCGAGAAAATGTTTTGGATTTTCTTGGATTGAGACAGTTTCTCTAGAAAGGTAGGTACTGAAAATTCCATACCCAAGTGAAGTGGTATGCTCTTAAAAACGGTGCCGTTTTCGTCATTGTAAAAACAAAAGCTTTCATCATAGTATCACTTCTCTACGTCATCAACTACAATAAAGGGGCTGTTTGTTACGGTTTGTGAAGGTGATTCCAGTTTATTTTAGGGTAAATAACATCATTTTTTTTTATTTTAGCTCTTAAATTTTATTTTATTTTTTTATTTTGACTCTTCAAATTTTAAGTTTTTCTTAATTTACTTTTAAAGTTAATTTATATTTAAAATTAGATAGAAAATATTACAATAAATATCACATAATATAAAAATATATATTATTATGTGGAGATTTGAGTTTATATTAGACGTATGAGTTATATATAATAAAATATTTTTATATCACGTGACTGTAAATGTATCATTTTTATTTAATTTTAATAGAACTTAACTTTAGGAGTAAATTGAAAAAAATTTGAAACATGAAAAGCCAAAATGAGAAAAAATAAATTTTAAAAATCAAAGTGGAAAAGTAGCCAAACATAAAAAGGTAAAGTGCAATTTATACGTTATTTTAATTTGAAATTTTATATTTGGATTGTTTGGTATAGTTTTTACTTATAATTTATTGGATAGAAATAATTTAAATAAGTTGAAAAAAAACTTATTATTTGAAAGTTGAGAATTAAGTGATTTTAGTTTATATTTTCTGATTATAAACTTTTAACTCAAACAAAGTCTACCAAATAGGGCCAAAGAAAGGGTAAATTACGCTCCCCTCCCTTGCAATTGGGAGAAAATACAATTACTCTCACATATTTTACATATTTATAATGATTTCTCTTGAGACTTTAATTCACATAACAATTAAATCATTTGTCATTAATAATTCGTTAATCGTATAAATGAAAAAAAAAAAATTTATCTTTTCTACTAAAATGTATATTTATTTTTGTTTGTTTTAGAGTTTACACATCATCTGTATTAGTTTTGGTTATTTTAATTTGCTAAAATAGATGTTAATGTAATTATATAAAAAATGTGGAATAAACTTTATTTTTCTCAAATCTTAAAAAACGTGAGTGCAATTTATCTATATAGAAAATAGAGTGTAGTGTAATAAATAAATAAATAAAATCATTTTTTAAAATTAATGGCTAAGATTCATTGATGCTATTAGTTTACAAAAAATAACTTTAAATATACACTATAAATCTATCATTCTGGGAGCTTTTTTTCGAAAATTCAAACTTTCTGATTGGAAATACACCATTCTTTACTATATTTTTGTAAGTAGACAGTAGAAAATGATATTAAACTCTACCGGATTTGGCATGGTTGTTGTGCAATGTAGTAATCACTGTTGTGTAGTTAAATGAGTCTATTTTGAGACTCATTTTGATAATTCGAGCCGTTCATATTTTAAAGTATATTGAGTAGAACATATCTACAAAAAATTAATCGAATATCGTTAACCCTTTCATCCACTCACATTTGTATCTATAAAAATAAATAACAATTATAATTTAAAGTACTAAAATGAATATAATGTGAGAAGATTAAAATGTACATTCTACTCGATATACTCTAAAACATAAACGGTTTGAATCATCAAAATGAATCTTGAAATAGGCTCATTTAGTTACACAACAATGAGTGTAGTGCCCCCAGGACAATAGCCACCCCAAATCCGACTCTACCATCTAAGAGAAAAAATTGAAATTGTTAAAAATTTATTGGTCATTAATTTATGGCTATAATTTTATAAAGTAAAAATTATTAATTTATGAGTCATGCTAAGTTGCTAACAGCCGTTCAAAATATTAATGTGAAGATAATGTCAAAATATAATAGTTATCAACATACTTCAATACATTTTAAACATATATATATATATATATTAAGGTATTTTTATATTTTTATCACAAATATATTAGATTGGAACATATATGTACTATACTCGTTTGGAGATTAATGACCATCACTGTCATACCCATTTCCTACAAATTATTTGTGAACTTTTATGTAACATAGTTGGCTTTGTACCTTGTTTCTTTTTACATTATTGGATGTGAATATGATTATTGATAGAATTATGAAAGTGAGTTATACTATTGAAATAAATAGGATAAAAGATTGAATTTTTCTTATTTGGATAAGTTTCGTTAAGAGATAAAAGGTTGAATATATAAGAGGTTAAGAAAATAATACTCTTCTAATTTCACTTATGAGATGATATTAATTATCCTCATTTAATCACTCATACATGATATAATTCATCCGCAACTTCGGTCTAGGCAATTTGTAAAACAAACACGAAACTAAAAAAAAAAATATGAGTCTCAACTGTCTTTTACTCATAATTGCCAAAATATTATAAGCCAAGTATTAAATAAAATTTGATGTCAAGATATTAGCATCAAAATATTATAAGCTAAAACCTATAATTGAGAATAAAGCTACCTCATTTGGATAGGCTTTTAATTGGCTTTTTAAAGTAGCTTTTATTATGGTATAATCTTTTAATTAATTTGAGTTTTACTTTCCTAAGGACTCTTGTTGTGGCTTTTTGGATTTTTATTGAAATTCCAAACTAAAAGTTATCAAAAAGTCATATAAAAAGCTAGTCGAATAGCTTAGAGTAATGTTAGAAATTATGAAAAAAATATTATGAAAATGATCATGAAAGATTATCTACATTTGGATTATACATATAATAAAATACTACATAATAATCAAAAGATAAAAAATCTTCATGATGCCATGATCCCTAATATTATTCAAAAGCTTATACAAATGAGAAACCACCGCCTTGTTTGGTTTATCTCTTGAGAGACACTTTTTGAGAAAAAAAATTTAAAAATTTGTTCAGTAAAAAATTTTTGAAAAAAAAAAAATCTAAAATCATTTTTCTCTCTACTATACATCAATTAATTATTTTTTCTCTCACAAACATTTATTCAACTATATAATAATAATAATAATAATAACAATAATAATAAATCATCCCAAACTCTGAAATTTTAAAATTATTATCAAAAAATACAACCAAACAAATTTTTAAATTTTGTAAATACTTTCCAAAAAATTATTTTATAAATACAAACCAAACATAGCCCAGAACTTTAATTTTTGTCATTGAAATAGACAACATCATCTTAAAAAAGATAATTATTTATAAAGGCCATGTTAAGAACAGTACATGTAGAACCGTGTCTAAGTAAAAATAATGTCAAAATAATTAAAATTCCAATGCATTTTTCACATAATTTTGGTGGTCAGTCACATATTAACCTTTGAAATTGTTAAGTCAATCTAATGCAAAACTACAAAATAAATTTATAAATTTACATATCCCAAATATAAATTTAACTATTAATATGTTCATAATATTGATGTGATTCAATGGCATATATGATTGATCAATTTAAGTAATTCAGTTAGGGAACTGTTGGGATCAAATTTTTTTCATGGTTCTACGTGTTATTATGTATGTTACTCTTAATTCAATTTGAGAATGTGATTTTCTTAATATGTAATGAAATACTTGTTTCATTGAAAATAAAAATTATTTTCTTTTTCTTTTTGAAAACTTATTATTTGAATTCAGCAACATTAAGCATGCAGAATATAATTTAAAAAAGTATAATAAATGGCTAAAATTAAACCTAATTATGTTAGAATTCACATTTAAAATATATTTTACATTCTGTAATTCATTCTATATTCTTAACTTTAGTGATTTGAATTACCATTCAGATTGGATTCTTGTATATCCATGGAGATGAGTCACCTATTTTGGTCTTGCATGAGCTAGGAATAAAAATATTTTACATGCATATATTTATTAAATGCATAATGGGAAATTTGAAGAAGGCCTTACTTTTTGAACCCATTATAGGAATGCTGCCCCCACCTATCTCAAAGGGGATGGATGGGGGCCCTCTCAAATGGGGAGTGATGGCTTCTTAAGCTCTCCAAGCACTTACTTTATGTCTAAATCAATTATTCATATTGTGGGTGTTTGTCTATGCACTAATGATATGATTCTTGAAAGATGAGTTTGATGGGTTTTTCAATTTTGGTGGGAGCACATGTCATCTCATCTCATACCAGCCATGGGACAGTCCATGGCTAGACTTCTTTTCAGTTTTTGTGTGATTAATACAAAGACCTTTTTGGACATGGCATTAGTTAGTGGCTCTACCTGTACTCCAAATGTGGACTTCACATTTTTGTTAGGCTCATCCCCACTAAAGTATTAGAGGTGTTCATAGATTGGTATAATTCAGTTTTGAGTTGAATCAAGAATTAAATTAAATTTTGAGATTTTCAAAGATTTTGAAATTAAATTAAATTGTTAAACGTTTAAAATTGAATTAGAATCAAATTATAAAATAATCATCTTTGTTCTGGTTTGGTTCTATTATTCTAAGCTATAATGTTCTATCACTATACATAAACATAGAATCATTTTAAACAATCAATGATCTACTTCAATTATATATATATATATATATATATTTGTGTGAAAACATAGTGAATTTCTTCATATTATATAGAAATTACTATAAAAGTATAATTTTTAGAGAGATTTATTAGAAAAACATTTCTCAAGTGTTTGTATCCCAATTAATCTATAAGATATTTTTATATTCTAATAGGTCTTATTATTTAAATATTTGATCTACCAAATTATAATTCTCATATTTAAGGTATTTTATGGACATTTCTACCCTCATAAATATTTTTTTGAATAGTTAGCAATTTGGTAATGTGAACAATTATATTTTACAATACGAATATTCATATTAACGTGTGAATACTCACATTAATAGTGTGAACGTTCACATTGACAACATGAATATTCACATTGACGTGTGAATG